CCCCCCCGCCCCGGCAGCTTCCAGCCCTGCGCCTCGGTGAAAGGGTTAATCTCTTCTGCGGGTACAAACAGGTCCGCAGAGTCCCTGGCTGGCGACAGATGGTCACTTTCTTTGGGCCACAAAGGGATGGGATGGAGAGCGGGGCGGCATACAAATGGGCAGCTCACGTGACCCCCCCCCCGCCAGGCGCTTGACGTGGGGGGGAGCAGATGGCGCGTGCCGGGGAAGACTGACGCAGGAGGGAGGAGGGGCGGAGGGGCGGGGCCTGCCAGCCAGGCAGCCACCCCCCCCCCTACCCCGCCAGAACTAGCCTGCCTATATAACCGCAGCCTCTCTCCCCGCAGCCTCCGAGAATAATGCAAAAATAAAGGGGAGGGGAGCGCGCCCACCCTCCGCCAAGGCCACGCTTCCCGGGAGCAACAGGGTTATGAGACCGTCCCCGCGAAGGAGTCTCTGAGGAAGGCCAGGTAAGGCTAGGAGGACGACTCCGGCTCTCTGGGCAGCGATCGGCGGCTCGGCCCAACGGTGCCCCCCGAGCGCTGCCTCCCGGCTCGAGGAGCGACGCGGCTGACTCGGTCCCAACTGAAGGGAGGCAAACCCCACGGGGAGTGGGGGGGGGGCGAAGACTTAAAGCTCCGTTTAGACGGGACTGGCGGGGCAATCCTGCCTCCCTGGCTCAGAAGGGAGTCCCGGGGAACTTGCTCCTCTGAGCCACGCGTCTCGTCTTCCCGGGAGGCGCGCACCGGAGTGCAGACAGTGAGGATTGGCTGTGCCGGAGAGAAACGCCGGGAAAGGCTACGGGCAGGTGGATACACTGGTTTGGGTTTCCTTCAAACCCTGTGCGTGTCTGGGGGATGACTGGGGACCCTGTGATGAGGATTTTATCTGTCTATAGCTATCTGTCCTAGAGACAGACAGACAGACAGATTTCAGCTGAGTAGGTACAACGTGTCCGCCAATCGAGTCAACGCTGGGAACTGACTTGATTTGTTTTTGGTTAAGCCCACAGCGGAGAGTGCCAAGCCGGAGCAAAAGAGAACGGCTACCTGTTCACGGAGGGAGGTTTCAAAGAGCTGAATCAGCTCCCTCTAAGCTGTGGAGTCTTGTGAGCAAAAATTCTACGTTGTGAGGTGCTGGCATTAAAGTTGTGAGCGAGCGATTTGTCTGCTGCATAACCTAGTTTGCTCTGGAGCCATCCTTCCTGAGCTAAGACCAAAATGTGGGAGCCGGAGGCTAAAAACCTGCGAGCCAGCTCACACTAACTCAGCTTAGAGGGAACACTGGTTCCGGAGCCCTTGGCTGACCCGGAGGTCCAACTGTTGCGCTGCTGTGGGTCTCCTTGCCCGGCGGCGGCGGGGGGGGGGGGTTTGCTAGCACTGTGCGTCCTCTGCCCGGCTCCTGTCCCTCCATTCCCCCCTCATTAGGAAGCGTCTCTCCCGTGCCCCTCATTCAGACCGAGCGCGCCCTGTTGATTAGCGAGGCGGCGGCTGCACCTGAGGCCCGCCCGTCTGGCCAGCAGAGTTTTGCCCGACTCCGAACAGTTGGGGCGAGTGTGGCGGCTATTGTACGGGACGGCATCGGCCACTATTGTGGAGAGGAGGCGGGAATGAAAGGGAGACCCAAGAAAGGCATACGGCATGCTCCGGCGGGAGGCTGACTGGCAAGTTGCCCTGTTGAGTCTGCAGAGGGCATTTTCTTAAAAACGAGTCTTCGATTGCGGGTTAAATTTATTTCTGTTTCGAATCTGGGTCACCGCCAGTAATATAAAGGCGTTAGCTCAAGCTATTTGAGAGGGTGGATCTGTAGAGGGGAAGTGCAGAGGAAATTAGAAGTTTGTTGCAGGGAAATGTGGAATGGGGAGCCTCAGTTTGAACTGCTGAGTGCAACGAACCGTCTTTTAAAAACAAACCACATACAAACACGGCTCAGATATAATTAGATGGTTATTTGGGAATCGGGATAGAAACTCCTCTCCCATTGACGTCTGTCATCAAAGTCCTATTGATCTGAGTGCCGGCTAAATTAATGCGGAAGGAGAGTTTTGCGGTAGGATCCTGTTCGCGTCCTTGGCTGGATGCACAGTTCCATTTGGATGACGGTTCTTTTGGCTGAACGCGTTTCTCTTGTGGTTTCTCACGCATGCAGGATTTGCAGAATGACCAAATCGTTCAGCGAGAGCGGGCTGATGGCGGAAGCCCAGCCTCAAGGTCCCCCGAGCTGGACTGACGACTGCCTCAGTTCCCAGGACGAGGCGGACAAGAAAGAGGAGGATCTGGAAGCGATGCACACCGAGGAGGATTCCCTGAGAAACGGCGAGGAAGAGGAGGAAGAGGACGACTTGGAAGAAGAGGAGGAGGAGGAGGAGGAGGAGGAAGACGAGGAGGAAGACGAGGACGATCAGAAGCCCAAGAGGCGGGGCCCCAAGAAGAAGAAAATGACCAAGGCGCGACTGGAGCAACGGCGCATGAAGGCCAATGCCCGGGAGCGGAATCGCATGCACGGCCTCAACGCCGCCCTGGACAACCTGCGCAAAGTGGTGCCCTGCTACTCCAAGACCCAGAAGCTGTCCAAGATCGAGACGCTGCGCCTGGCCAAGAACTACATCTGGGCGCTCTCCGAGATCCTGCGCTCCGGCAAGAGCCCGGACCTGGTCTCCTTCGTGCAGACCCTCTGCAAGGGCTTGTCGCAGCCCACCACCAACTTGGTGGCCGGCTGCCTGCAACTCAACCCGCGGACTTTCTTGCCGGAGCAGAGCCCAGACGGACCGGCCCACCTGCCGCCCGCCGGCACGTCCTTCCCGGGCCACCCTTACACCGCCTACCAGTCGCCGGGGCTTCCCAGTCCGCCTTACGGCACCATGGACAGCTCCCACCTCTTCCACCTCAAGGCGCCGCACTCCTTCGGGGCTGCGCTGGAGCCCTTCTTCGAGAGCGCCCTGGCCGAGTGCGCCAGCCCTTCCTTCGACGGGCCCCTCAGCCCGCCGCTCAGCATCAACGGGAACTTCTCCTTCAAACACGAACCTGCCAACGACTTCGAGAAAAGCTATGCCTTCACCATGCACTACCCGGCCGCCGCCGGCCTGGCGGGCGCCTCGGGCCACGGCTCCATCTTCTCCTGCTCCGCCTCGCGCTGCGAGATCCCCGTGGACACCCTCATGCCCTACGAGAGCCATGCCCATCACGAGCGAGTCATGAGTGCCCAACTCAACGCCATATTTCACGATTAAGCCCTTCGAGACGCGTCGGCGTCAGGGGGTGCGGAGGATCATCGGCGACTGCCTTGCGGACAAAGGGCGGCAGCATCCCCTCACCCACCCACCCGGCGCCGCGGCTGCCAAGTGCACAGAGACACACAGAGAGAGACCTCCAAGCGTCAGAGTATTATCTTTGCTGCCTTCAGGAGCTGTGGGGATGTTACTTCCTGCTTCCCTTCTCTTATTTCCCCCCAGTTCTCACCCAATCGAACCCTCCACCGGCAATTGGGTGTAGAGGGGTTCGCTCGTCTCTCCATTAATTTGATCGGGACAACAAAACCACAAGCAATAATTAGGATCTATGCAATTGTATGTTGTTTTTTTGAAACTAGTCACGGGCCAGTTACAAAAAAAGAAACAAAATAGAAAAGTATATATCAAATCTCTATTTTTCAATCAGCATTTTTCCTACTTGTTACCTTTTCCCACATGCTGAATTATTTTGTTGTGATTTTGTACAGAATTTTTAATAACTTTTTGATAAACTATTTTAAACCATGCAGCTTCATCATTTTTTATACATACTGGGGAAGGAAAAAAAAGTAGAATTATATCTAATTTATACAAATAATTTAAGTAATTTAAACCAGCAAGAAAGTGCTTAGAAGAAAAGTTGTTGTGTTGCCTTAGCACCTCCTCTTCCCCGCCCCCCAGTTCCTTTCCAAATCCTTTTACACATGAAACAATAGCACAGAACCGGCAACGTATTTTTCCTCAAACTTTCCATTTCCCTTCAAGAACAACCAGATTCCTACTTTTTTTAAAGACAAGGATGAGAGAAGGAAAAGATTTATTTTCTCTTAGAGCATATAATTTCAACACATTACATGCACAGCCTTGTATATACATCCATATTCTACTAAGCATATGCCAACCCCCCCCCTTTATTTCAAATCAAAAGCTGCTTGACTATCACATTCAATTTGCACTCTTTGTTCATAACCTTTGGACTCTTCTCCCCTGTTCCCCCTCTGCATTCTGTGAGTTTTGAAAGAGAACTTGGAAGACCTTTGTGTTTCCAGGCAATTGTAAAATGCATGATTTCTTTAACCCCCCCTAAGTAGTCACATGAATCAGTGGTTTGTCATATCTTCGTTCAGGAGTCGAAAACTAATCAGGTTTATAATGGTTGGGTTATATAATATACCGATTGTAGTCAGTAGTATAAAATCAATGCAAACCATTTGACTTCGTAAATAGAATATTAGTGATGCATGTACAATGCAGTCCAGAATAAGTGCTGTCTGAAATGTAATGCTGGTTCAGCCGAAATCAATCTGTACTGTAATTTTGTTCGTAATCCTGTATATGACGATGTAATGCACACTTGGGATTTTTAAGGGGGGCACACACACCACACCTTCACAACAAGATACTAAGGAGCCGTTGGTCAGATGTTGCAGTTCTCCTTGAGTGTAATTTTATTTTCCCCTCTTAGTGTTAGCAATTCCTATGGGATTGTTGTAATAGTTCCTGAAAGGTGCAACCCTGATTATTTGTACAATAAACTGAAGTTTTAAAAAATACAAGCAACTGAAGTGGAATGTGACAGGAATTTGGGGCGGGCGGTGGGGGTGGCACAGACGCTAAGCTAGAGACGGGATGTGATCTGGAGGAGTCTGTCTCAAGGCGCTCAACACAACCACTGACATCAGGGGGCGTGCCAAGGTCCTAGGGAGCTGTCCAGCTCTGCAGTGCTGAAATACTACACTTAGCCCTCAACCCCACTCTGACCCCGAAGAACCTTTGGGGCATTGCAGCATGCCTAAGTGAACGGAAGGATGGGACCATAGGAGTTATGCTGGGAATCACTTCTGTCCAGGCTTTTTGTTCAGGGGGACATCACACACACTGTCCCCCTGAACAAAATAAAACAAAACTCCAGTGGCACATTAAAGCCTCATACCATCTATTTGATATTTCTTGAGTCACACTTTGTGCCTTCAGATGAGCTCTGAAAGCTCCTACTGAAATAAATGTTAGCTTTAACATGCCACTGGGCTTTTGCTAGAACAGAGTAACACAGGTACTCTTTTGCAATCATCAGTGTTTCCCCCTTCTCAAATCTGATTTGAAAAGTAGGAATGATATTTTGAAAGGACGGTGGTGTATTTTCTACACTCATATGTTTGAAACGAGTTGTGATTATTCCTTAGGAGCACCTCTGGCTCTTGTTATTACAAGGAATAACAAAGGAAAGAACAACAAAAGCTTTTCAAGAAGGACATTTAGTTGTAAATGTTTCCAGGATGTTTGATCCATGTTGAATCTCTCTCCTCCCCACCATCACTTTGCTGGTTCCATCTGGAATGGCACACCTGCTGCTCTGACCTTGGACATATATATGCTGGTTTATATAGCAGTGTTATTGAGATTTGGAATCCTGTTTTTACCAATTTATGTATTTATTTACTTCATGTATACTTTGTCTTTCTCCCCAAAGCAGCTTAGATCACTTTCTCCTCTTCCATTTTTATCCTTCTGGCAACCCTGTGTGAGTGTGAGATTGGCCCAATGTCACTCAGCAAGCTCTCATGGCAGAGTAGAGATTCAAACCTGGATCTCTTAGACTAGTAGCTGGGAGACTAGTAGCTATAATCACTACAACACACTACCAAGTGAGGGAGTTCCTGATAGGGATGTCAGCAACTGAAGAGAGACACAGAGGAACTTCTTTGATCCCCTCTGAAGATTCTGGAGTTCCAGGCTCCATTCCCCCACCACATAACACCTTTGATGGCTGCTGCTGGCCTTCCATGCACTAGTCTATTTTGAGTCAGCTGCAATTAACTGACTCTGCAAAACTGCTGGTAATCAAGGCTTGCAAATATGTATTTGTAAAGGGTCCAGTCCAGAGAAAGGTAGTCATCTTTCATTAAAATTTCAGACTTCACCAAGCTTTTCCACTGATTTTGATGGGACAAATGGAACTCTCTAGAGTGCGACCAACATTACATGTACATATAAAAATGCAATTTTTAAAAACTTTGTGTATGATATAGGTACATGAAACAGGAGTGTCTGTAGTTCCTTGCTGCATGAATACATACTGATAAATACAAGGTGTGTGCTGCACAATGTATGAAATGCCCTTTACAGGCTGATAGGTTTTCTCACACATATCTGGAAACAGAAATTAACTGGGGGGAAACTAAGTGCAATATGCAAATTCCCTTTATGGAAATCAAGGCATTCTGTCAGCAGGTCCTGGTCTCCCCAGACTGGTGCAAACCATACTTTTTCCTCAAAGTGGTTTTTTTTCTGGGAAGAAATATCACAAATTGCAGAAATGTTTGTGAAAAACAAGTTTCTCTATATCTTGTGGGCCTTGCATACACATATCTTTCATTTTAACAAAGTGGATGGTAAACAGCCAGATCTACAGAAATTGCCACATGGATTGTCAATATCAAATAAATACTTATGTACTGACAATAATATCAGTCATATCAACTTTCATCAGAAAGTGCTGGTTGAATCTACACATGTGCCATGACCAATGGAAGTTGTGGTCAATTTCTGGAAAAAGGCTTTCAGTTGACCAGGACAGTGAAATCAGCTGTTGGTTCTTTATATGCAAATGAGCAGATAACTGGGAGAAAGGAAGAGTAAGATTACATCCGCCCTAAGCACTGTCTGTACTGTGTTTTCAGTGAGCATGTGTGTATGAATTGTTGAGTATGGGACACATAGGTATGTGCATGTGTAGTTTATTTATTTATGCAATCAAGTCTTAGCTGACTTATGGTGAACCTGTAGGATTTTCAAGGCAAGAGACATTCAGAGGTGATTTGCCATTGTCTGCCTCTGTGTAGCAACTCTGGTGTTCCTTGGCAGTCTCCCATCCAAATACTGACCAGGGCTTACCGTGCTTAGTTTCCAAGATCTGACAAGATCGAGAAAGCCTGGGCGACCCAGGTCAGGGATAAAATAAAGTTTATTAGTTTAGGAGGACTTATATACCATCATCCTACTACAGCTAGCTTTGAGTCCAACCTTGGAGACCAACAAGGGTTTTGGAGTATGAGCTTTCAAGAGTCAAAGTTCTCTTTGTCAGATATGGTGCTCCTGGACTTGAATCTAGCTGTTCTACTGCTGATCAACATACCTACCCTCTGAAATTTTCTACTGCGATATCACACATTGAACAAAAAATTATTTTCAAATAAAACAATAAGTTAAACAAGACCATTTAAAATTTCATTATCGGTATCTCAAACAGCATCTCCTGAGTACCTGGAAGTGGTGTGACAGGGTGTAGGGGTGGCTTTTACCATTAATGCATCTTCTTGTTGGTACATCCTCAGGACTCCTCCTCTCTCCCTCTCTGTAGTACCCTAGACAAGTTTCCTTACTGCTGTTGCTGTTTTCCTTATTGGGACCATCACATGCCCAGAGAAAATAGCTGTTCCTTGCCAGACAAGGGGGTCCAGGGAAGGGTTCACAATACGGATGTCTTCTAAGAAAGTCTAATCATATGCCCTTCTTTTATCTCTAGCTTTATGATTAGGGGTTTTCTCCATGGGAACCTGGATTCTATTCCCTTGCAGACTTAGAAGTCCTACACTTTGCCTTGTCATTGACAGGCGGTCATTTTGACAAGAGCAGGTTCAGGAGTGTATAGAATGGATTCTGTGCCAGCTAGAGATATAAACGTCACAGGGGATCTCCCACCAATGCCTTCCAAATCTTGCTCCCCATTGCTTTGAAGTTGGCCAAACATTTAGATAGAGCAGAGACAGTCTGTCTGAAAATATATCCATTCACAAACCAGCATGAACCTCCAGAAACAGCTGGAAAATTCATGCTGGCTGATCTGCCACAAACTTCATTTTGTGCACCACAAACTGGCCAAAATTTGTGGTCATCCCTATCCAGGTGAACTTCACTTTGTGTACCACGATCCGGTCAAAATTTGTGCCCATCCCTACCCAAGTGAGAAGACTTTTCACAGTGGCAGTTCCATCCAATAT